TGTGTGTGTGTGTGTGTGTGTGTGTGTGTGTGTGTGTGTGTGTTTTGTTTTTGGAGACAGGGTCTTGAAATGTAGTCCAGGCTGGCCTTGAACTCTCTTTGGAGCCAGGTTGACCTCGAACTTGTGGGCATCATCTTGCCTCAGCCTCCTGAGTGCTGGGATTATAGGTGTGAAATACCACCACACCTGGTTCAATCTATTTTACTTCTTTAAACCTTTTAACAATGCTAGGAGGTGAGTACTAGCATCTCTGAGTTTTCCCCGGAAACTGAGGCACTGAGGCACTGGACTGAGTTCACGTGGCCAGGAAGTAATGGGATTTGAACCCAGGTTCTGTGGCCCCTGCTCAGCAGAGAGAAAGGCAGGAGCAGGGTATTGAAGCTTGGGGTGTGGGGAGGAGGGAGTGATGTGAGACCTGATGGGCTGAGGGGCCCCAGAATACGAGGAAATCCTAGGTCCTAACCCTACGGTTTACCCACCTCTCTCTCTTTTCTTCCACAGGCAAAGAGGACGCCTTTGAAGGAAGACCCAGTGGCCACCCTGGATGCCTGCCCTGGCAGTGCTGGACCCCGGCAGAGGCCAACCTCCACGTCCTCCTCACCAGAGGCCCCTGAGTTCAGCACTTTCCGGGCCTGCCAGTGAGGTCGAGGACTGGGGAGCCCTCCGATCAGCTCACTGTCTCCCAAGCTGCCTGGAGGCTTTTGGGGGCTGAGGGCCTCCCCGTACTGGGAGGGGGTTGCTCCAGCTGCTGCTTTCTCAGGGAATCGAATGCAGGGCTTGAGGGGGACCAGGTGACTTTCCTCCCAAAAGCATGGGGGAAGGAATGAAGATGTCGGCCTGGGGTTGGACGGAAAGCAAGAAGCCCCTTTGTGGACCCTCAGCTTCTCAAGACCACCAGAGAGCCGGGTGTGGTGTTTCACACCTGGCATCCCAGTACTCGGGAGGCTGAGGCAGGGGGATCTCTGTAAGTTCAAGGCCAGCCTTCTGGTCCCCTCCTGGGCTTTAGTGGTCTACATTCCCTACCCCCTCCTCTCCTCCCTCAGGGTTCAGGGGTCTGCTGTGTCCCCCAACGCAGGGCCTAAGTTATTCTAACACGTGTTGTGCGCTCACTGTGGCCTGCCTGGTGTTGAATCCTTTAAGCCTAAGACTGTGAGGTCCACCTGCTGGGTGGTTGGGTGGGGTGAAATCGCCCGTTGGGGAGACCCCGAACCTCAGGAAGGTGGGGTGTGAAGGGCCAGTGGTACATGAGGTGTCTGGACTGTAGGAAGCTGCAGTGACTGGAGGGGGGTGTGGGGAAGGGGGTGTTTGCAGAGGAGGAAGACTGGTAACATTCAGGGAAGGGTAGAAGGGCAGCGGCTGCTCTGGTGGGTCCCCCAAAAGGGATAAGGGGGCACACCGTAACTGTAGGACTCAGTGGGAGAGTCTCATTGGGAGAGGGGGGTGTAACGGGGAAGGGGGCAGTGAGGGGAAGAAGGGGCAGTAGTAGGGGGCACCTGTGATGGGGAACTGAGAAGGAACCGCTGAATGGTTGGATGACTGGGTTCAGGCTCGGAACACCTTTCCTGGGGGAGGGGATGGGGTGAGGGTGGGGCTTGGACCGAGCCCTGGCCACGCCCACACCCCCGCCCACTCCCTGAGCTGGGCGCCTCACAAAGTCCCAATGGGAGGGGAGCAGGGGCACAGTGGGGGCGGGGCTTCGTCACGGCTGAGCTCCTCTTCGCGGCCCCTCGTAAAGCTAGGCGGGGAAAGGGGCGGAGTCCAGTTTAGGGGGCGTGTCCAAACTGTCCGGGTGTCAAATCCGTCCCTAGTATCCCCCGGCAAAGTGAGCCGGTCGTGCAGGGCGGGGCCCAGGTGTGTCCACGCAGCCTAGAACCGCCCCCTGACGCAAGCTCCGCCCCCAGCCTCCTAGACCTATGGAATCGCCTTACAAAGCGCGGCCCCTCCCGCGGCAGAGGCCTGGGGGCGGGGTATATGCCTCTTGGGGCGTGTCCAAGTCTCCGAGCACCGCCCCCTGGCGCACGCCCCGCCTCTGCTCCTTGAAGTGGCGCACCGCCTTAGGAAGCGCGGCCTTTCGCGCGCTGGTCTGGGGGTGGGGTCCGGGGCTGTTAGGGACGTGTCCGCGCGGCCAAGCACCGCCCCCTGACGCACGCTCCCGCTCGAGCCGTCCCTGCGCCGCGGAGCCACCTCACAAAGCGGCGACAGTTCGCTTAGGGCAGCTCGGGCCCCGCCTCCCCGACGCGGTCTCTCAGTCCCCGCGCCGAAAGCCGCCAGCAGGGTGCGCTGCACCACCGGGCCAGGCCAGGCCGCGGCGGCGGCGAAGCGGCGCGTGGCCGGCAGGCGGCGCTGCCCGTCTCGGCCTCGGCCTCGGCCTGCG